ATCTTCTTACAGCAGGTGAAAATTAAGTCTAAAAACGCTGTGCTAATTTATACAACCTGTGCATCATCTCATGCCTCCCTCCTCATGTTGACTCAGTTTTTTTTTACACATTAAAGTGGTCGTTTGGATCCACGCTTCCGATGTTATCATCCCAATAAATGGCCGTTATAAGCGGCTATCAGTCTCATAGAATGGCTTCAGATTGTGCCAGTAGGCTCATTAGATTTTTATCATCGAGGGAATCCTAATCCTTACCCTAAAGTAATTCCTTTTCCCCAGTGGAATTAATGAATCTATTTATGTGTAATCTAAAAATAATTTAAATAGTTCTACATGTACTGTAAATATGACTAAATAAAAATAAAGTGATCCGCATCTCGCTCATATTAAACAGACCAAAAACAAGTAATCTCATGCCCTGTCCACTGAGTTGTAGAATCCTCTCCCTATAAATATGTAATTCTCTCTTTAATAAGATCCTCGTCAACCGTACATGTAATGTTTGTCTTTAAAACCTAATGTGTCTATCAGACCTAGTGAATGATAAAATGAAAAATAAATAAATTGAAAATGAATATAAATATAAATATATATATATATATAAACATTTTTCCCAGAGCTAACCTGGTCGGGAGCACAATTTCTTCACTAAACTTGGAGCATCCTTTTTGGACTTCTTGTATGCAAGTTTTTTCCTGCCAAAAACGAGGACTAAACATTTACTTTTTGAGAGCAGAACTTCTTCTACTTGCACTCAAAACTTGCAATGCTCCCGTCCAAGACTTCTGCTTTCTCTCAAATATATTTCCTTCTCCATCAAATCTTTGTTTCTGCTCTCAGATGTCATGCTTTTTGCACAGATATTATCTACAGTCATTTACTTCCTGCTACTTATGTAAACTTAAATTTATTTTGTCATTTTGTATACATGAGTGTATACAAAAAAAAAATGGTTAAAAACAGCACTAGACAATTTCATTTTTTTGAAGTACAAACCAGTCTCTCCTCCAGTCAGAGATACGCTCGCAAAACCGTTGGCAATTTGCAATTTTATTATCAGTAAGCAGTAACAGGTAAACTCAAGAAGAAACTTCTAAATACAAATAAAGAAGAAAACAAGCACACCTCTTCTGAGGCTGTCCTTATATTGCCTGCAAGGGTTGCTAGGCGACGGTGCGACTCCAGCCTGAGAGAGAGTGAAAAAAAATCAACACTCAGAGCTGAGCGTATCACTGACTAGATCTAAGACTGGAGGAGAAGGAAGTAAACCAGAGGAGAACATATCTGTTCTCCTCTCGTCCTCTCGATCTGAGAGCAGAAACTAAGATTTGATGGAGAAGAGACTATTTTTGGGAGAAAACAGAAGTTTTGAATATACTGTAAGCATTACAAGTTTTAAGTGCAAGTAAAGGAAATCCTACTCACAAAAAGAAAATGTATGCTCTTGGTTTTTGGCATATAATAAGGCCATTAAAAAACCCTCAAAAGTTTGTCGTCATAAGCAAATTAAACTTCTTTGCCCCTGTTGAAAAACACCGTCATGGTTTTCCCCCGGGTCTGTTAATTCAGGTGCAGGTAACTTAATTGAGATGGAGTGTTATAAAAAAATTCTGGACCAAGAAGCTTCGATTTGCCTTTGCAAAGGAAGAGCAGCAGCAGCAGCAGCACGCATCTGCGAACAGCAACTCCGACCCCCCCTGCAACACCGGCTCTTTTTATTATCTTCATAGGGGAACATCTTACAGTTTCACACAGACAGTCCCACAGAATGATCATACTCCCTACCTTCTTATCTCCATGTATGGAGTTGCTTCCTGCCTTTCTGCTTCCACATTGTTAATCAGCTTTTTCTGTGTGTGTGCCAGCAAGGTCATTCTACCCTCTTATCTACAGATTTCATACTCCCCTCTGCGAGCTTTGGCCTAACACCTGGGAATAGTAAATTTGCTACCCATCATTAGATTATACATGGCATATACTTCTTCAATATGAACAATAAGTTTTGCTGCAGCTTTAACTTAGCTCTTTACTTCTTTTAGCTTAAACATGTTTATGTATCTTCACCCCTCATGCTAAATGCAATGTGTGCTGGAAAACTAACAGTGAGCATCCCTCTGAACACACCTTCACCCTATCAAAGGTATAGTGGAGGATGTTCTTTTCCTGGGTGGATCGTCAAAATAAGTGGTCAATCACTCTAGTTATATGTTTACGTAAGGCCGTCCTACGTGCTCGTCCCCATTTTAACTTGCAGGTGCTGAGCCTGACCTAGTGGAAAAATTGCATATCTTCTTTTGGAAAGTAAGCTTGTATGAAAGACCTTAGAGCGTTTAATAAACCACATAACACTTTCATTCCACAGAAATACAGCAAAATCTGTGGTTGATGCAACATGAAAAAAGTCAGCTGCTATGAAAACCTTTACAGAGCATATACAGTAAGTTTTCTTCAAAACTTAAAATAATGGTACCTTGATTTTCTTTTCTAGGTAGTTTATGTGCAGGCCCCTCCTCCTCCTCAGTAGTGGTGTCGCTCAGTTCAGGCTCAGAGCTGCAATGGGATACATTGAGGATTGCTTCTGCCAGCTTCTCCTGCACAGATTTGGCTTTGGAAGGGCAAGGGAACATGATGCATATGACTAATCAGAATATGCAGAAAATGCAGAGAAAGAGAGCAACTAGAACTTAAGAATAAAAACGCACAGCTGTGAAAACTTTTTATTAGCCACGGCAAACAAAAGAAAGCTGCCCGTCATGCAAAACCATGAACATGCATAGGAAACGGTAACTAAAACAAAATGTGACATTTTAAATTAACTTGAAAGTAAGCTTTATTAAGTTTCTGAAATTTGCTCTAAAGTGTTTGTCATACAATAGGGAGGCATTGCTTACTCACTGTAACTACTTACTTTACATTTTTTTTAATGTTTGCAGATTTTATGTATGTGAAATGTTTACAGAGAGTAAAAAGCTGCTTGATTTGTTTAAGTAAGCACCACATGAATATGGAGCAGCTCCTCACAGCTGCATATTTTAAGCACACTGAAAGAGTATACCACATGCAAATGTATGCATTTTTCCTCTAAGTGACTGCTTCCTTTCTCGTGTCTGATTGCAATCTCACTACCAATAAGCTTTCAGAAATGTGTATTTATTTACTTAGTAGATGATTTTGCTTCAATTTCAAAATAAAACGCAAGCTGGAAACAGCAGAAAAGCACACAAATTGAAACTGCTTTTTATACTTAGTTCAAACCTTTTTAGTTCCAACACTCGGCTTCACTCACCCCTCTCCTGTTCATACTCGATTTTGGTCTCATTCCCAGGATTCTCCCTTTCTTTATCTTCTGAGGTGTCACTGCTCAGTTTATCCTCATTGCCCATGGAAACACTGGTACCAGAGATTTCAATCCCTGTGCTGTCCATGGCGCTGTCAACTATGTCGGAGTTATTGACAGAAGCAGATTGGACCCTGGCAGCAACAGTTTCTTCAGGTTTCTGCTGGTCAGCCTCAGGTTGGCCATCCTCTTTAACCGTGTCTTCTGTCTCGTCATCTTCTGAGTGCTTAGTAGCTTCACCATCGCTCTCCTCATCGCTGCCTGACATTCTGGAGCCTGAGCTAGACCCTTTTTCAACTGTGGATAAAAGAACATAGAGCATTTTTAACTTCTGAGCTTCAAATATCAGACCTTAATATGAATACTTGTGTAGTGATGATTCTTTCTTAACACAAGAAAACTGCTAATAGAGGGTTCTTTATTTTACTGTAAAAGCAGTTCTCTGCAAACTGAGCAATACACCCCTAAATTTGTTTTACAGGAATATTACAATGTTTTGACTTTAAAACAAATTCGGCAGAGTTTTATGCAATACTAACAGGGAATGTTTGGAAATCGTTCCGATATCAGCCAAAAAATATGGGCTTGCATCTGAAATCTCTGCTATAAGCAGCAAGAGTCAAGCTCCCCCTTCCAGCATTTCACCCCATTATTTCCATCCAGCAGCACTTGTTTCCCGCACAGAGAGCCAAAACGATCACAAAACATTATACCTTGTTAGCAGCCCAGCAGTTACAGACAGCGTCAGAAGCGTTACACTGCTGGGCTAGGAACCCTAATGTCAACAAAGTATAATTCAGTTGTAAGAAAAATGTTGCAATAAGGAGGCACAAGAAATAAAGGTATAGCCAAGCTTACAGCAGAAATGCCATAATATCTCAGATTTTAAACCTCTGGAAGAGCAGATTTTGGACCTATTATCTAAAAACTGAGAGAGAACGGCAGAACTGTAAACCTACCAAGATGTGGTTGTCCAAAATAAACTATGACCTATAACTCTGTATGATTGATGTGAAAAATAACATCACATAGTAGAGGGACGCTTCTCTTTTCTTTGATAGGGATAGAATTAAATATCATTGAGGCGAGACTTGAAAACTGATGTTTGCAGCTTTCACCCAAACCTCTAGCTCTAATTTAGGCAAAAGTTCAATAAAATACTGATACAAAATACAAAAACACAAGAAGCTTTTCATGTTTGTTTTAAATAAAAAAAGTTTAATCCAGACAGACATACTTGTGTGTCTGGATTAATTATGTCAAGCCAAGAGGTTTACTCACTGTCGTCCTCCTCATCTTCAGCTTGAGAGGCATCCTTTTCCTGGTCCGGTAGTTCAGTTTCACTGAACAGAGATGGAGATTTCTCTTCTCGTAGAGTTGTTTCCTCCACAGGGCCTTCATCGTCTGCTTCAAAGTCTTCCTCATAATCTGAAGATGAGATAACCAACACAATACTGATGTCTGTTTAGATCAGGGAGTGGTCATTGCTCAGAGATTTTATGTATTATACCATCTTTGACTTTGCTCTCCACAGCCTCTGTCTCTTCTCTGTCTGTGGTCTCTTTAATGGGTGTTTCAGTTTCATCTTTAAGGCTAGTGGCTGATTTTACTTCTGACCGATCTCTAATGACCCTCTTTGGAGGAGAGGGCTTTTTATCCAGGCCCATTTCTATGATGCACCTGAAAAATAATCCCCCCAAAACAAAGACCTAAATGAAGAACTGTCCTTGAATTTTTGTGAACTTTGCTGTGTGGCTTCATATAAAACACTGTCTTTGTTCTTACAGCTGTAGTACACATTTCAATTCACTCTTACTTGTAACAAGGAGAAGCCCCCTCGATGTTGGAAAAGCCGAAGTATCCATGTCTTCCTCCAAGTCGGGCGCCTCTCCTGTGTTTGAACTCGCAGCAGGAGCTTAGCCGTTCAACCTGCAGCCCATTCAGGTAGAAGGTCAGGCTAAAGGGGAAACCTCTGTGGCGCCTTGATATGAACTGAAAGGCTTCTGAGGGGAGAAAATGTTAAAAATAAGGAAAGGATCATAAATAAGTTCTAAATCATTCCTATATTCTTTTAATTTGACCCGGTACGCAAGCACTGACCTCCCTCGCGGAGCTCCCCTTTGTACACACACAGGTTTTCTCCTCCGCAATGCTGCTGAAACACCTTGACTTCATCCCTGGAGTCGATTAAGTCATTGGAGAGATGAACCGTTTTGCCAAAGTACACCATGTTGACACAGACTCGGCTCTGGTAAACAGAGCTGCTGAGCCAAGAGGGGTTCTAAAGAGAATAAATGGTAAGCAGATTTTTTCCCCAAAGCTTTTTCTACACTTAATCTAAAAAAATCTTTTGAACGATAAACTATATAAAGCACTATCTACAGATTCCCAACATCACAGAAAAAGCTTCTTTCCTCAGGTTGTCTCTCTGGTCAACACTTAGGGCAAATCGATTGTTCGAATCAGAAACTCACCTGCATCCTTTTTACGGGTTTGAACAACTGGGACTTTTTTCTCACTTGTTTTTGATGAAACATAACTGTTTGTTTATATGTTTGCACCTTTTTTTTTTAGACATGGAAACCTTGTCATCTTTATTGATTTTTCATTTATTTAATATTTAACTTTGGTTATTTTCTTCATTTTTCTTTTATATCTATTCTTTTTATATCTATGTTTTGTAGCACTTAGAGATATGCTACCTTTGGAAAGTGCTCTGTAAAAAATTATTTAGTATAATAGATATTAGTATTTAACTGACTTTTATCATTGTTACCTTCAACTGCATGGCTTAAAACCTTGTCTATGTTTTAACAGCACCCTTCAGACTGCCTGTACATGCAATCTGCTCATTATTTTGTACGAAACCAAATCGATTTGCACGTCTTCACATTTGCCCAGGAGTCTTTATAGATCACCCGCAACAAGCCCTCTCATTGCACTTACTAAAGAAGAAACTGCACATGTAAATTAGCATCCCAAATTCTGAATCCTTGAAGATCAGGCCCTTACTGCAGCGCTTAGTTCTATGCATTCATATTTGCATAGATTCCACCTTTTTCTTTTAGTTTGTAAACACCTTGTATATACATAATGCACATTTAAGAGTTAATACCTCCCAGCAATTCATTTTATATTATATATTTTAAAAAGCCAGGCTGGACTGAAGTCAAATTCCTTTCTGGTTTGAACAAACCCGCAGAACAAAGGTGACTCTGATTCTGTTCAAGCAATAATCATGAACTGAGGAGCAGACCAGACCAGCGGCCTGCTCTTAGGGCTCGGTGTCTGTCTTCTGTCCTGGGCTGCGTGGGTCCATGGTGCTCCTGGCCATTGTCTTTGAATGGTTGGGGTCCCTATCTATGATGGTGGTTGAGCTGATTTGTTCCCTACACCTTTACTCACTATGATGTTCCCTCGCCTGCTCCATCACACAACCACACATGTAGGACAATGAAGGCCTGAAGACACTGGTTGCATCTTTTCGATGGCCAAACCAATTTCTTTCCATGTCACACTAATTGCATATAGGAGGCTCCGACTAGGATGGATGAGCAGATCTGTGCAGATTTCTTTTTCACTTCTGTCTCTGTCACGCACAGATTGAAACAATTTCCCACATTTGACTTGGTCAGATTATGAGAAGTTATTACAAATAAATGATTAAAAAACTCTTTTTCATAAAGAGGGTAGAGATACACTGTGCTTACCTGCTCTGGCTGTCCCTCATTGCTTTTGCAAGGCTCAAAGAGTATCACTAGTTTATCAATTTTCAATCCTCCTGAACACCTATCATGGGTAAAGTATTCTTTTTTTAATGTTTCATTCATTGCTTTTGCACGAATCTATCACACTTGCTATATACGTGATATGCAGTTCCAATACTGACTGTTTCCCGGTACGATTAACAGATTGTTTTTTTTTATTTTCCCCCAAAGCGGATGTGTTTTACTTTGTAACCACATCTCTCTTCGTGTCAGACCCATGAAATTGCCATTGAATTGCTGTATAGTCTTACTGAGATAGACCCCAGGTCTATATAGCTACACAAGCCCACAAAATCGTGTCGACTGTGATCATGCCCACCTTTTCCGACACGATTTTCTGTCGGATCAGACGCAAAAGCAAATTTGGTGTGTTTTGGCCTTGAGGAGTAGAACATCACCAGGATGGGTTTCCCTTTGCTGGTGCTTGTTTATGCCCCATTTTAAATAATCACCTTAGTCATTATTATTAACAGCATTTCCTTGAACACAGGGTGGGCATCTCTATGTTTGGATACATTTAGACATTTAGTGCTTTGGTGGGAGATGTGTGGAGTACATTTGACAGGGCACGTAAAAAAGAGAAAAAAATATATAAAATAATAATAGGCTGGTATGAAATTGGTACTGTTGACTAGTTAAACAGTGATTTATAAAGCTTAGTCATCTAAGCACATACGAACATAAGGACAGCACTGACCTGAGATCCACTGGAGGAGGTGGCAGGGCGTAGTCTGCGTGTTCTGATGGTGCTGCCGGCAGTGACCTTTAATTCCCGGTCGTTCTTCTTCTTCAGTGGGGGCACTGGTGTCACAAAGTTGTTGATGACTGGGAGGCAGTAGGGGGATATGCCATGGGAGACGTCCTCTGCAGTCATATGTCTGCGGGACCTGATGTCCATCTGCTGAAGATGTTCGGAAATCTCAGTATTTTCTTAAATAACAAGTGGCCTGTCGTCAGTGGAGATCAGACACTCACTGTGTTGTTGAGCAAATGCTTGTTCTCCTGAGAAGAGATGAGGGGTCTGTAAGGCGAGCCATGTTTGAATGAGGCTGTTGTGCTGGTACTGTTGATGGGCTTCAGGCGCACCGGCCGCTGCATCTTCCCTGGAGCCGTGTTTGGCCTTGAAGTGCTGGGCTAAAACAGCCACGGGGTTTAGATCAGAGTTAGAAAGACACCTCATCACCATCACTGGTGCAGCCTATTCCTTCTGTTTCATAGTATCGTGCTGTAGAAAAAATTTTTAGTTTTTCATGTTGCAACCACAATCTTAATTAAAGTTTTTTTAAAGTTCATTGGAAAAATCAACTCAAATAACAGCACAATATTAAAGGGAATAAAAAAATGGTATTCTAACTTTTTATATATGATAATTCAGATCAGTTTTAATTTGCTTAATATTACTAACAACTACAACTGTAGGCTTTGGAAATATGTGCGGTTTTGCACATAAAGAAGCCATTCTTTCCATTTTCACGTTTATCCCTACTGGGGTCGTCAGGGTTGCTGGTGCCATTCCCTAGTTGTCTATGGGTGAGAGGGGGAGCACACCCTGGACAGGTCGCCCAGTCTGTCGCAGGGTAACACAGAGACAAACAGTACAAACAACTATTCATGCACACACTCACACCTAAGGAGAATTTAGAGAGGCCAGTTAACTTTACAGTCATGTTTTTGGACTGTGGAGGAAGCCAGAGTACCTGGAGAGAACCCACGCATGCACAGGGAGAACATGCAAACTCTATGCAGAAAGACTCCAAGCCGGGAAACCCGGAGCCTTCTTGCTGCAAGGCAGCAGTGCTACCCACTGTGAAACTGTGCAGCCCATAAAGAAGCTATTTTCTTGCTAACTCTCTGCAAAAAATGTCTTGTTGAATTTTGACATTAAATGTTTGTATACATCAGTTTTCAAGGTATATGACAGATTATGTCCAGACTTTGACTGGGCCAAGTTAATCGTCTTAAATAAACATTATTTTATCCCAGCTATTATATTTTAGTTCTGACTGTATATTTTTTGATCTACTGAAGTTTCACGACTTTTGTCGCTTCTAATTGGTTTTCTTTCTTCAAGAATTGGAGTTACATAATATTATTATTAAAGAAAGACTTGAATATTTTGTCGGAATTAAAGGAAAAGCACTAGGCTTGTTTAAATCTTATTTATCTGAGAGGTTTCAGTTTGCCTTCACGTTAATGTTACATCTTCCAAGAGCTCCAGGGTTACCTGTGGAGTACCACAGAGATCAATGCTAGGACCAATTCTCTTTACTATATATGCTCCCAATTGGTAGAATTATTAGACAGCATGGGAATAATTTCCACAGTTATGCCTATGATACTCAGCTATGTCTGCCTATGAATCCAGATAAAGCTAAACTATTACATAGATTACAGGCATGTCTTGAAGACATCAAAACCTGGATTACTCTTAACTTTCTGCTCCTGAATGCAGACAAAACAGATGTTATAGTCTTTGGATCAGAGTCTTTGAAAAAAAGCTGATTAGTCAGTCACTTCATTTGAATGGAAATAAATTGATCTTAGATAATAAAGTAAAAAAAATCATGGTGTAATTTTTCAATCTTCAATGCTGGACTGTTGTATATCTTTACTATCAAGAAGTCCACAAACTATAGTTAAAAGCCGTCAGCTGAACAAAAATGTTGCAGTCAGATTTCTTATGAAAATTAAGAAGAGAGATCATATCTCTCCTATCATAGCTTATCTTCATTGGCTTCCTGTTAAATCCATAATACTTTTTAAAATTCTCCTTGTCACATATTAAGCTCCAAATAACCAAGCTCCATCTTATATCAGAGATATGATTGTTCATTGTGTTCCTAACAGAGCACTTCACTCTCAATCTGCAGGTTTACTAGTGGTTCCTAGAATTTCTAAAGGTACGGGAGTCAGATCTTTTAGTTATCGAGCCCTTCTCCTGCGCAACCAACTACCAGTTTTAGTCCATGAGGCAGACAGCCTGTCTACTTTTAAAGCTACAGTGTGTAATAATTACAGGGATATACAGTCAGAAATGTAATATATTATACATAACAATGTTATTTATCATCA